CCCCCCCCCGCAAAAAGAAGGGGCTTGCCTTGATTGAAGACTAAAGAGGGATTGGTGACTGGTGGGATGCAGGCTTCCTGGCCTGGTGACCCCTGGTGGGTGGCAAAGGCTGTGTCAGCCACCTGCACTGCACTGTCCTACAGAAATCTCAGTGTTATGGGTCTCCCTTCACACAAGTGCAGCTGGCATGTGACTTGGCAGGCCCTGCCATCCAGTGTTTTTTTCCCCTGTTCTGAAGGGCTTGCTTTGGGGCTGGGCCTCCGTCCGAGCCAGAGGTGAGCTGCCACTCACCCGCTGAAGGAGGCCGCAGGCAGCGGCACTAACCCTCAATCTTGGACATACTTAATTGCCTCTAGTGGAGTCCTTGGGGGCATTTGCAGGTGAGAGGAAACAGCTCCTGGGCTGCATGTTAAGACATGTCATTTGACCAACTTGAATGTAAGCTGTGACCTTCCTCATCTGGTATCACGGGTCTTTTTTTGAATGTATGTGCCAGAGTTTTGCTTTTATTGCCCAGGCTGGAGGCAACAGCGCGATCTCAGCTCACCGCAACCTCCATCTCCTGGGTTCAAGCGATTCTGCCTCAGCCTCCCGAGTAGCTAGGATTACAGACATGTGGCACCACGCCCATCTAATTTTGTATTTTTAGTTAGAGATGGGGTTTCTGCATGTTGGTCAGGCTGGTCTCGAACTCCCGACCTCAGGTGATCTGCCCGCCTCAGCCTCCCAAAGCGCTGGGATTACAGGTGTGAGCCACTGTGCCCAGCCAGGTTATCATGGGTCTTTAAAACCATAAAGCTGGCAAGAGCCAGTGAGAATCACAAACGTCAGCCCCAGGAGCTGCAAAAGAGCAGCAGCAAAGAAGCCCCAAACATAGTTTCCCCAGGAAATGCCCGTCTCCCTCACACCCACCTGGAAGCATCTCATCAAAGCTGGATCTGGCCTCGGGGTGGCGCAACAGGGATTTGGGGGTGAAGATAATTAACTGAAATACAGAACAATAGGCTTGTGAAGGATCAGATTCTGAAGATTCTAGAAGGAAGGTCAAAAGCAAGGCTACCCAAGCCTTGACCTTCAGGCCATGAAACACACCTGCCCTCCCACTCAACAGGAGCCTCAGGTCAGAAGAGGTAGAGAAGGAGGGAAAAGGAAAGATGACCAATTTCCCTGCTGTTCACCTCCCCTAGCTGAGTATCCACTCCTGGCAGGGCCCATCCCAGCCTGCTCAGATTCCCAATACTCCCCTCCTTGCTTCTCTGTACCTAGGAAAGAGCTCTGACCCTCTCCTTGGCAGTCGCAGAGCAAATGCACCCAAAGCCCATGTAAGGCTGTGACATGGCCCAGCACCAAGAAGCACCAGGGCTGTCCTGCCCTGTGGGCCCTTGGGCTGCTGGGGACACTCCAAGCTGCAAGCCTCTGCCCCATACCTCCACCCCTGAGGTATCCCAGGGCAGCAGGGCACTCTCTCTTGCTGTGTCCCATATTCCTTCTTCTTTTTTTTTTTTGAGACAGAGTCTCGCTCTGTCGCCCAGGCTGGAGTGCAGTGGCGCGATTTCGGCTCACTGCAAGCTCTGCCTTCCAGGTTCACGCCATTCTCCTGCCTCAGCCTCCTGAGTAGCTGGGACTAAGGCGCCCACCATCACGCCCAGCTAATTTTTTGTATTTTTTTAGTAGAGACAGGTTTTCGCCGTGTTAACCAGGATGGTTTCGATCTCCTGACCTCGTGCTATGCCTGCCTCGGCCTCCCAAAGTGCTGGGATTACAGGCGTGAGCCACCACGCCCGGCCTTCTTCCTTCTTATGAATCACTTCTCCCATGTATCCCTCCACTCAACTTCTACTCACTCTTCAACACCCAGCTCGGGAGCCGCTCCCCGGGAACCCTGCACTCCCTTGGCCTTTGCCAGGGCTCACCTCTCTTTCAGAGCTCGGCACACCCTCTGTGATCACCTGTTCAAACATCCATCCTCCCCACCGGGCTGGGGCCGGCAGCCTATGTGGCTGGTCTGCATGTGGTGCTCAGCAGTACCCAGGGGCCCAGTCGGGGAAGAGGACACACGGAACACGCAGTTCCCTCATGGTAGCAGTGAGGAGGGGCCAGGCTGTCCATGCTATGTCCTGATGCCATGTCCTGTCGACGCTACCCATGCAGGTGCCCACCTAGCCAACCCCAAGCAAGAGGCTCTCTGAGGAGCCCTTCCCTGCACCAACAGGGCAGGGCCAGGCCTCGTTTGAGCAAGGGAGGCCCTGCCACTGACCGGCTTCCGGAAGGGCAGCAAGATCTGGCGTCGTAGCACGTGGAAGAAGTTGCCAGGGGTGGAGCAGTTGACAACAACCCAATTGCAGTCATACAGCTGATTGATGTCAAAGTTGGCTTCTTTAAGGTCCTGCAGCAAGGAAGGAAATGGCCAGAGGCCAGGACGCAGCACTGAGTTTTCTGGGGCATCTGGGGGCCCTTGGGTGATCTAGTTTGGATATTTGTCCCTGCCCATATCTCATGTTGAATTGTAATCCCCCACTGCTGGAGGTGGGGCCTGGTGGGAGGTGTTCGGATGAGGGCTTGGGCCATCCCCTTGGTGATGAGTGAGCTCTCACTGTGAGTTCACATGAGATCTGGTTGTTGAAAGTGTGTGGCACCTCTCCCTGACTCTCTCTTGCTCCTGCTCTGGTCATGTGACATGCCTGCTCCCTGACTTCATCTTCTGCCATGATTGTAAGCTTCCTGAGGCCTCCCCAGAAGCTGAGCAGATGACAGCATCATGCTTCCTGTACAGCCTATTTGGAACTGTGAGCCAATTAAACATTTTTTCTTTATAAATTACCCAGTCTCAGGTTTTTCTTTATAGCAACACAAGAACGGCCTAACCCACTGACTCACCAGGAGACATAAGCCGGCACTAACAAGTGAGTCCAGGAAGTTCCTTCGGTCAGGCTCATACCCTGGAGGAGAGCCTCAGTCCCATTCAATCCATCCTATTTCTCTGAAAGCTACTGCCCAGCATGAAACAGATACTACTTTAAGAGACACAAGTTCTACCTAAAACCAATTTTCCTTAGACACTGACTCCTAATCATTTTCTTTGAGTTCTTTTTTTTTGAGATGGAGTCTTCCTCTGTTGCCTAGGCTGGAGTGCAGTGGCACAGTCTTGGCTCACTGCAACCTCTGCCTCCCGGGTTCAAGCGACTGCCTCAGCCTCCTGAGTAGTTGGGACTACAGGTGCCCGCCACTATGCCTGAATAATTTTTGTCTTTTTAGTAGAGATGGGGTTTCACTATATTGGCCTGGCTGGTCTCGAACTCCTGGCCTCGTGATCCATCTGCCTCGGCCTCCCAGACTGCTGGGCTTACAGGTGTGAGCCACCGCACCTGGCCAGTTCTTTTTTTTTTTTTCTGAGATGGAGTCACTCAGGCTGGAGTGCAGTGGCACGATCTTGGCTCACTGCAACCTCCTCAACCTCCGCCTCCCGGGTTCAAGTGATTCTCCTGCCTCAGCCTCAGAGTAGCTGGGATTACAGGGGGGCGCCACCATGCCCGGCTAATTTTTTTATTTTTAGTAAAGATGGGGTTTCACTATGTTGGACAGGCTGGTCTCAAACTCCTGACCTCATGATCTCCCTGCCTCGGCCTCCCAAAGTGCTGGGATTTCAGGTGTGAGCCACCATGCCTGGCACCGTTCTTTTTTTTTTTTAAGACAGGGTATTGTTTTGTCACCCAGGCTGGAATGCAGTGGCACGATCTTGGCTCATTGCAGCCTTGACCTCCCAAGCTCAAGCAATCCTCCCATCTCAGACTCCCAAGTAGCTGGGACTGCAGGCGTGCAACATCATGCCCAGCTAATGTTTACATTTTTTGTAGAGATGGGGTCTCATCATGTTGCCCAGGTTGGTTCTTTTGAGCTCTTAAAGTTTCACTGGAATCACCCCAAAGTTCTCTCAAGTGTGAACCTGAATCAGGGTCTGGGAGGATCCTGCAGGAGCCCATGCTGAGGGGCTCACACGGCATTTCTGTGCTTGCAACAACAGCAGGAAGCCAATGGAGGCAGTCCTTGCACTTTCCTCTGTCCTCCAAGAAGTCTCTCATCCCAGAGCGCCCAGAGGCATGGGGCCACACCTGTCCACCCACGCGAGCTCCCCAGGATGGAGAAAGGAACAGAGGCACGGTCTGCCACTTCAGGATGTCCAGGTAGAATGTTCTTCCCCAGGTTTCCCACCAGACACCCCGAGAATGGCGGGGCTGACAGGGCCTGTATTACTCACTGGCAGGACGTCTGGGTCATCGTTGCACATCTGCAGGAACCGCTCTGGGCGGGCGGAGGAATGTTCTGGACCCTGGAACCAGACATGCAAGTTACAGTTTAGGAGCTCTTGCGTACTGACATTTGCCGCATCTGCTGTTCCTCCTCCTTAACCAACTAGCTCATTTCTGGTTATCTTTTTCTTGATGGCAGGGTTCAGTTCCTTCCCCCTTCCACCGGCAAAGCACTTGGCTCCTCATCATTTTCACACTTGGACGCCTGCACATCTAGGGAGTCTGCACCAGCAGGGACAGGGCATGCTAGCCACATCCAGATGGGCTACTCTGGCTTTCCGAAGTGACATCCCATCTGAGATGGACGGGAAGCACCAGCAGAGCCCTTAGGAGGCTGGTGTGAGCTGCTGGCTCTCGTGCCAGTCTTTGGGGTCAGGGTCCTACACAGGCCCTTCCCAAGTTCTAGGTCTGGCAGGGAAGGGCCAGAGGCTCACCATGCCCTCCATGCCATGGGGCAGCAGCAACACGATGCCATTCTGCCGCACCCACTTGGCTTGTCCCGGGCAGATGAACTGGTCGATGATGCACTGGGCCGTGTTGTGGAAGTCACCAAACTGGGCTTCCCAGAGGACCAGGGCATTAGGACTAGCCATGGCGAAGCCCAGCTCAAAGCCTATAAGAGACACAGGAGGGAGAAAACCATGTCCAGGACACCAGCCAGTAGGCCCAGAGCGGGTGGGTGGGTGAGAGGCCCCGGTGGTGTGGCTCCAGACACTCACCCAGCACGCCGTACTCAGACAGTGAGCTGTTGCACACGGTGTAGGGGGCCTGATTGGGCCAGAGGTGGTTCATGGGGATGCAGGTTCTCTTGTCCACGTTCTGGTCATGGAGCACATGGTGGCGGTGGCTGAGACAGGACAACAGAGGTAATAATCAGGAGCTCTGACTTGACAAGCAAATATGCTGGAACCCACATGAAGCACCAGCAGATGCCACGCTCTGTGACCTGGACTTCCAGCCAGGCAGCTGCAGAGTCAGCCCCACCCAGGTCTTAACAGAAGCACCCACAGCAAATGAGGGACAGAGGTTTTCAGTCTGACAGCAATGGGACTCAGTAACTGTCTTCTGAAAAAGAAACACCAGAACCCCTCCCTTTGCATTTCCTACTCTTTGGAGGGCAAACAAAACTGCCCAGAACGTTACCTGAATGTGCCCCGCTCCACGTCCTGGCCGCTCAGTCGGATGTGGATACCCTCCTTCAGGAGCGAGCCAAACGCCATGTACTCTGCCAAAGCCCAGTCCACAGTCCGGTTCTTCACCATTTCCCCACGAGTCTTCAAGATCCGGCTCAGCCCTGCAGAGAGACAGCTCTCACCAGCTGCTGCAGGCCCTGCCTGCACATGTCTGCCTTGCTTCTCAGTGTGCCCATGGCAAGAGTGGAGCCTTCTTCACTCATAGTTTCTGGGCTCCTGACATGCTGGAAAAGCTGTGACCTCAGTCTCTTTTACCACTGAGGAAGTGTAGGATGGTGCTAAGGGCAGGGAGTGAGAGAGGTGGCTCCATCCAACCACCCCAGAGGCTTGGAGCAGGGCAGGAAGGGAGTCTCTGTAGGACACATGATGGGGGTCAAGGTCACAGTACTAGACAGTCTGGGCCCAACATTTCCACAGGTCAGCACAGAGCTTGTTACCTCCATGAATAGTAAAGTTTTCCACAGGCACAGAGCTAGCCACGTTCCCGATGTGTGTCAGAATATCCTCCGTCAGACCCGTGGAGGGGCAGGACATGCTCCTGGGCTGCCCGTCCAGGGTGAAGAAGCCTAGGAGAGGAAGAACAACTGAGGCATGACATCTGCTCTGCTTTTCCAGGGACCACACCATGGCAGACACATGATGTGGGGGAGAAGCAGGGTGAGAGACAATGTAGCTCACACCGTGTTCCCCAGAAAACATGAGTGCAGGGGTCTGGGTCCAGGGTCTGCAGGGGTTTGGCTGAAATGGTGCACACAACTGTGCACTGTGGGTACAAAGTAGAAAGCATGAATGTTTTCCGGGAGGAGGATGCCTCGTTACATCAGATCCTCAAAGGAGCTTATTTGTGGCACTGGTTCTTCACTCACCAGGCCAAGGAGAGTCCAGCCAGTGCTTAATGTGCAAGATCTTCTCATCTTTAGATCTGGCAAAAGCTTCCTCACAGATCTTATCATACTTGGAAATTTCCTCCTGCAGGGTTGGACACAACACAGCAGTGACTGGCACAGGGCATGACTACTGCACACGCCCACCCGTACCCCCACACTTTCTGACAGCCACCACGCAAGCCCAACCATACCCTGGCACAACTCCCATGCATGCCCACCCATACCCCCACACTTCGTGGGTACGAAACATCTCAGCCTCTGGGCCTGCTCCTTCTCAATAGGCATAACACCTGTCTAAGATTTTATTCTTTTCATCCCAGAAGTTTCTTCCTCACATTTGCTGGGTAGAGATTCTGCTCAGAGTTTGAACCCCTAAC